CATGTATATTAACTCAAAAATTTGAAACTTTAAATGTTTATATCTAATAAACTAATAAAGTTATATTAAAAATTCAAATGCCATTTACTATTTAATTAAAAATCCAAACATTTTATTATATTCAAAATATGTGTTCCCATTTAAAAGACAAAAAGACCAAGTTGACACCCTTACAAGGCATAAGGGATGAACATAAAAAGTTTTAAATAGTTAATAATTTAAGAATAATGTGTAACTAAAGAAAACCAAAAAAAATGTTTAAATTATATTTATTCTACAAGTAAATGAGTGTGTTATGATAAAAAAATCAGTCTGTATACTGTATTATAGTTTATCATTTGTAAAGCTGGAAGTAAAATATTTTTGTAATGTTTCGTTTAATTGTAATTTCCTGATCTATTATTACTAGACCAAGAATTAAATATTTATAAACATTTTTGAAACCGATAGTATTATTAATTTTGCAAAAAGAAGAAAAACAAAATATTTTACTATATATGACGAAATGGAATGAATCGTAGAGGAGAGAGGACCTCAGGAGCACCGAAGGTAATCTCTTTACGCGCGGTACGTTTATGACATTAAGTTTTCATTTTGTGTATTGTTTTATTGTGTTTTTAGTGTATATTTATTTTGTATGTTTTGCATTGTTTAATTATATCTATAATAAATACATTTGAGTTATTATTAAACTTTTATTACTTTAAGTTAAGACACTAGGGTTGTTTCTTTTAAGATACAACAGTACCAAAATTTCAAATTTCAAATTATTTGTCAATTCCTAAAATAGTAATTAGAAAAATAGTAAGTTTTTTTTACGTGAGTAAATATTTCTATAATTTTCGTTTGTGAGGTTCATTCAAAGTTGGACAACACCCGAGAAATCATTCAAAATACGCCACTGGTTGGGACACCCTGAAATAAAATGCACTACGTCATCACATTGAATTTTTAAAATTCATCACCCCCCATATAATCAAATATAAAACCTATATATATATATAGAAATCACAAAAAATTTACAAATAAAAAATATATTTATATATAACATAACAGGTGGAATTATAACACGCCTGCCATGTTGTGGAACCTAAAAAAATAGGGACACCTACAAAAAAAATTCGCCACACGTGCTTATGCCACGGTGCGCTAAAAAAATTAAATTGGCTCAAAACATTTTTAAAAAAAAATTTACAGCAGGTACAGCCGACGACAAAATAAAAAAAAATTAAATGGTATTACAGTAGCAGTGTTTTATTATTTTTGAACAATTGTTTATTAATAAAAGTCATTATTCATTAATCGAGTCGGTAAATAATTGATTTAATTATCACATCCTCATATGATAAAAATAGTTATATATAGATAAATAATTTTTTTTTCGTTTGGAGGGAGAAATGAAAAATTTTCTTATGTGTATCTCTCGACGAATAAGACAAAACCCTAATTATGCCAAGCCTTCAACCAGTAAACATGCACTCAATCCCAAAAATGCGGTTCTGAGAATAAATTAATAGAATAGAATAATGAACAATAGAAAAATCATTTTTGTTAAAATACTATTAATTGTATATTTACATTAGTATGGCATATATTGATTTGTCATTTGTTTAGCTATATATTATTATTATTATTTTTTATTACAGTATTACAACCTCTTGACTTCAGTATCGGGGATTGTAACCTACTCCCCGAATTTTTTTCTAAATTTTAAAATAAAATAAGTATAAAAAAACCCAGCACAGGGGGGTCGTGGCACAGTGATGACATGACATTGTTGGATCAAGTATAATGATATCTGACAGTGATTAAAATCACTATCAAAAATAAACGCTTCGATGCAAATCTTTAGATAGTGTTTAATTTTAAAAAAATTGGTGTTTTATTCCAAAAGCTACTTGATCTGCTGGTTCCTTATTAATATCTCGATTAAGATAAAGTATGTCGAATGAAAAAGGGTTTATTAAAAAATATTATTTCTCATAAAAAAATTGTGTGGATCCATAAACTTTTCAATAAGTTATAGCATTATAAAGTTAAATATAATATAAATAATAAAATCGAGAATTTTCACACGAAAATAGCATTCGGTAGCCATTTTCGCCGTGAAGACAAGTCCAGAGGTCAAATTTTTTTTTTTCAAATTAAAGTATATTACATTAGCTTTAATTTAAGATATATATAAAAGTGTCAGACCTTCCGGAATATTTTCAAAAGTTAAGTTGAAAAAGTTAATTTTTTGTGAAAAAGTTGTCATTTTAAATCCCCCCCTGTGGGCAGAAAAAAGGTCAAATTTACAAAAAAAATATACCAAATGAAAGGTAATGATATCATGCATCTATATAAAAAAAACTATATTGATTCGGTTATGTTTAAAAAAGTTATAGTAATTTTAAGTAAAAAAAATTGAAAAAACTTTNAAAGTTATGGAAGTTTTAAGAAAAAAAAGTGAAAAAATTTCGAAAATTAGCGATTTTTAAATTTGTAATTTTTTGGGAG